TAAGTTAAAAAAGAACAGCATTTATTTGAAATAGCAATCTTTTATAGCGTTATATACTGTTACTATTGATTGTTGATGGATCGTTGACATGATGGATAAATTAATTTCTAATTATTTATTTAAATTTTTAAAAAATCTTATTAGCAGCCAACTTTAAATGGTAATCTATGTAACTAGTACCATGAACTTGTCAACCCTTAAAGGTTTAGTTCACCCAAAAATTTAAATTCTGTCAGTATACTAACCCTCATGTTGTTCCAACCCTTTAAGACTTTCGTTCATCTTCATAACACAAATAAATACACTTTTGATGAAATCTGAGAGCTGTCCCACTCCTCCATATGTTTCTAGGTAATTGCATCTTCCGGCCCAGAAAGGTAAAGACATTGTTAAAATAGTCCAACAGTGGTGACTACTGTGGGTCAAAATAGGTTTATCAAGCGATGAGAGTACTTTTTTACGCACATGTTATACATTATAACAGAGTAAATAATTTATTTTTGTTTTTAGAAGAAGATAAACTCATCGGTTGTCATCTAATCAGCCCAGGGCTCTCTTCTAATCCTAAGTGTGGCTCTGTTTGTGTTTAATGACACCAGCAGGTTTGGCAACAGTAACAATAACAAAAACAACCTACGAACCAGCAGACTTCACACTTATCAACCAGAGAGAAAGACAGAGGGCTATGGATTCAGTGTGAAATATGTGAATATAACATGAGAAAACTGTGCCAAGGACAAAGGGGGATGGGACAGGACAGGAAAGAGTGATTGATAGGTGAAAGCAGACAGCCTGATAAAAGAGTTAGGTGTGGAGAGCAGGAGACATGAGCGATGAGAGATGAGCGGTGAAGAGAGGAGAGAAAGGTAGAGAGAGAGAGCATCCCTGGAGCTCTACTGAGGCAACAGTGCTTGTAATAAGGCAGGATTGCTGTGAGAAGCAAATGACCCTGTGGCAGAGAGAGACAGAGATATGGGCTAAACAGAAAATGATGCTATCATGATAGCTCTCATTTCTCTCTCATTACACTGTCCTGAACTTCACAATCCTGGAGCAAAGCTCTAACCAGTCCAGACAGCTTTAGGGAATAAACCAAATAAGTTGTTTGCTAAAATATTTATCCTATTCATTTTACCCTGTGAGAGAAATACAAATAAAAATCCAAGAGCCTGCACTGCAGGGTTCATTATTAAAACAACGAAGAAGGAAGAAAGCTAACTTTTGGCTTTTCAAATATAATGTTTTCGTGACTGAATTTATAAACAAAACGTACTTTCTCCAAATCTGCATTTGTACACAATCTTTCAAAAGTTTGGGAAGTAAGATGGTTTTGAAAGAAGTCTCTTCTGATCAATAAGGCAGAATTTATTTGGTCAAATATACAGTAAAAACTGTAATATTGTAAAATATTATAACAAATTAATTTTAAATGTAATATATTTTAAAATGTAATTTATTCCTTTGATGGAAAAACTGAATCTTCAGTGTCACATGACCCTTCAGAAATCATTCTAGTATGATGATCATCAATGTTGAAAAGAGTTGTGCTGCTTAATATTTTTGTGAAAACAGTAAAACATGTTTCCAGGCTTCTTTGATGAACAGAACGTTCAAAAGGACAGCATTTATTTGAAACAGCACTTTTTTTGTAACAATTCAAACGGCTTTAATATCTTTTGATCAGTTAAATGAATCCTTGCTCAATTAAAAAAAGAAATCTTACGGACCCCAAAATTTTGAATAATAGTGGGTCAGCCAAGGTCAGCGGAGATTATAGATCTTAGCTTACTGTATTTATATATAAAACATGACGCATCATTTTCAAAGTGACAGACAATAGGTAGGCCACATAACTCAGTCAATAGCAATCTATACTACATTATGAGCTGTGGCATTAAACGGATGATAGAAATGAACAGCATCACACTTCTCTTTCAGTAGAGCAAGGCTGTTCGTTGTCTTCAGGAGCTGCCTGTGGCTGTCATATTTCAACAGCTCCATATGAGCCCTAATCACCATCCATTGGGAGAACATCACAAGACCCACACAACCCTGTCTTTAGGGTCCCTCTCACACACACACATCAGCTCCTTTGTTGTTCTTTGTGAATGAAGAAGGGATCAAAGCAGCGGATCTCTACGTGAAGGTGCCCCAATCTCCGTCAGAGCCACTTGGCCGGTAATGGGCTTTCATCGGGGGGTGATGAGGTGAGAGCAGGATAGGACAGACGGGGGGATTAGGAATTAGAACAGGAGGGGGACAGCAATTGATCAGCTGTCATCTCCGCTTACAGTAGGCTGGTGCAACTTTCACAGGGAAATATCCAATCCAACTGGGAAAGATGAACACTGGGCAGAATCATCTCCATTTCAAAGTGGATTCATTTAAATGAGACCGTGGCCCCCAAATGCAGCAACAGAATACAGTTCAGAAAGATTACAAAAGCCTCCATTTAGAAACCCCAACATGGATTAAAAACAAAACAAAAACTAATGCAATTAATAAATGGAAATATGTTGTAAATTGTTACCAAATATAACCAAAACCAATGTGAACCTATATCACATTTTGATTCGACTCAATCCATAATGAGATGGTATAATGCTGGTTTACTGGCATTCTCTGATGCATTATAATTATTCCAAACATTCATCACACATGAACAATGGAAGTTCAATGCCAATGCCCCACATACTTTGCAACATAACTGTCTCCTCTTCCAGATAACAAAACCAAGTTCTGACAGTTCACATAGCAGACCTTTTATTTCTCCAAAAACATGCTTAGCATTCTGCATTGATATACAAGTGAACCTTGCCTCAAACTATTTAGGTCTGAGACTGTCTTTGTCTTTGAGACTGAAGGTTATCTTACAAGTCAAATGATTTACATAGATTCATCTTTATGGAAGAGTTCACTCAAAAATTAATGAATTATGCCACCATTTACTCACAGCCATTCTATGTAGTTGAAATGTAGTTAAATATCGTAACTTAAGAAATAAGTTCAAATTATTTTAGTTAGTTAACATCAGTTAACTACATTAGTTAACATGATACAATAATGAATTGCACTTCTATTGCATTTATTAATCTTTGTTCATATTTATTCCAACATTTACTAATACATTATTAAAATCAATAAAAATCAAAAGTTATTTGTTAACATTAGTTAATGCACTGTGAACTCAAATGAACTGAACAAACAATGAACAGCTCAGCTGTATTTTTATTATCTAACAGATTAACAAATTATACAAATGTATTGTTCATGGTTAATTCTCAAGGTAACACATTAACTAATGTTAACAAATGAAACGTTGTTGCAAAGTGTTCCAAGTTAAAGTAAATGTAAAAACATATGCTGTCTAGACTTGTATTGATCATATTTTTTTATCTATTTTTCATCTAATTTAGTAACTAGCGCAGTATCCAAATATGGATATTTCGTTAAAGGCAAAAAGAGAGAATTATAGGCCTATGTCTAAATATAGTATCCATAAAACTGTAGGCAAAAAGTACCCTGATGACCTACTACTTCCAGAGAGATTTTGAATTGCATCCATTAGACACTTTACTATCCCATGTAAATAATATGTTCCATTTAAATAATATAATTAAATAATATTATTTAAATAATATAATTAAATAATATAATTTCATTTGCATTAATAGACACTTTACTATCCCATGAGGCCACGCGGAAGAGGAGTTTTGAACGGCAGTAAAGCAAAGCAACTGACGCTGTCAGGTCATGTGAATTTCTACACACATTCATATTATATAGAACACACGTTTTTAATGGTTGCAAAGTAATTCGGCTATTTATTCAAAGTACTCGGAGAGTATGCGATTTCAGCCAAGCTGTTCTACCCCTAAAAGTGGTTCATTGAACTTATCAGTGTTCCGAACTCACATGTTTCACGAAAAAGATAAGCTTGGAAACACTGAAATGAATAACAAATTTTGAGTTCCACGGATACAGGTTTAAAAAACATGAGGTAGAGTAGCCTAAATGATGCCAGAGTTTTTATTTTACTTCTTTAAATTACAAAACCCTTTAATCAGAAAGCAAACTTTTCAGATTATCAAATGCCCACCCAACCTTTCAGGTCCACAAAGAAGGCGTTATCCCCTGATGGATACTATGCAAACCTGCAAGTGTCACTTCAATTTATTTTCCAATTTCCTGTCCACTGAGATACCCTCGCTCTTTCTATCGCTCCACTGTCCGACTAGATAAAATATTGAGGGCTTTTTGCTGAGGAGCAGCCTGGCCCATTTTTTTCCCATGTGCGCCAGACACTAAGCTGATGGTGTTGAGCATCCCGGCTCAAGTTCTGTATAGCGCTCAGTGCCCACACAACAACACACAATAAATCAACGAAGCATTTCATTAGGGCAGACTGCTACATCTCCAACGAGCCTTTGCTCTGTGTATTGTTAAAGTGCACGGTGGTGGACCAGGTCAGGCTCAAAACTAGGATTCCTGTGTTGTCACAACGAAACAGCCTGACCCCTTACTCCCATCGTCACGACGACACGTCAAGGGGTCAGTGAGGCATGGCAACTCCACACAACAGAAGGATCGTGTGACAGAAATGTATTCATCTCTCTCTCTATCTCCCTCCAGAGGTCTATCCTCCGCTTCAGATCTGTCCAATGTCATAAGCAGAAGTATGCAAATGATATTCACACTGCTCTCTTGTACTGTTCAGCAAGTCTGCTCTGCATATTCGAAAATGGAAATCTCCTCGGGTGGCATTTCACTCAAAAACCATGAGAAATCACATTAATAAACTGCATATGTTTACTGAAATATTAATTTAAAAAAGATGTAACTTATCAGTGGATACACTAGATTACATCCCAGCACAAAAACATATGTTCCTTCATTCATTCATTTATACAAATCATCCCATTCAACAAGCACAAATTAAAAGCTTTTTAAAGGCATACAATTAGTCAAAATCCCCCCACTCTCCATCTAGAGCTACATACCTTTTTCTCATGCAGAAACGTCAGGTAGGAGACGAGAAGGCAGACCATGTCAGCAGAATGGGCAGTGCGCACGCAGCGGTCTATTCCAGTCTGGTGAGATACAGCATGTGAGCTGCTTTAGCCCTCTCAGCTATTGTTACAGCCGCCAGGTCCTCACTGAGCATGCTCCAAACAACCACTCCACTCACTGTTGGCATGGGAACCACTCAAGCACAGACCTCACTATAAAGGACCTCCCTGAGATACACTCTCTCTTTCCCCCCACCTGTCCTCTCAAGGGGGTTTTCCTTGTTTTTGCGTCTGTGTAACCTTGTGAACCCGAAGCAAAGCTTGATAAATTGACCTATACAACATCCACTCATGAAGTTCAACTGAGCTAAGATGGAAAGGCAGAAAAGTTGTAACATCTTTGTCTTAATCTTAAGTTAACTACACCTTAATTCAAACTGTGATGTTATGAAAAATATGTACAGGTGAAACTCGAAAAATTAGAATAAGTATAACTACTGCATGATTATACTTTTCAGAGGGCCAACATTTCTGCATTTAAAATCCATTTTTTTATTGGTTTCATGTAATATTCTAATTTTCTGGGATTTTGAATTTGGGGTTTTCTTAAACTGTCAGGCATAATCATCAAAATTTAAACTTTTGCAGGATATTCTAATTTTTCGAGTTTCACCTGTATATATATCCACATTAGACAATCACAATTTGACCTTAAGGAATGTAGAATTACTTCACTAAATGAGTGTCACCGCACTTCAACACAATGACTCGTTACTCTAAAATGTCAGACGACTGGTAGCTAAATTAGATTAGTGAAATAAATAGATAAAAATCTAAATAAATAAATATCTAGAAATAAATAAGCTATGTTTATAGTTTTATACATTTATATTAAGATAAAAATATAACTAAAATGAATAAATAAATATCTGAATAAATAAACTAATAAAGTAGTTTATCTAGGTTGTTATATTTAATTTAAAAATAAATAAATAGATACCTTGAAATAAATATTTAACAATACATTTTTAATAAACAAATAAACAAATAATCTAAATATAAAAATCAACTAGATAATCTAGGTTTTTAATACTATTTATTAATTAATTTATTTTAAAAATGACTAATAAATAAATATCTCAAATTTAAATAAATAACTCACAATTCCAAAGCACGGGCCGTAGTCTCTACTGGAACGCAGTGCAGGATTTTGCAGCATTCCTCCGAATTCCCATGAGAGGGCTTTCAGAGCATATTGGCTGTGCTCTGTAATTACAGTATGTTGTGTGGGGTTGAGGTGGCCGGGCCATATGGAGAGAGCTAATCCTCTACATAACCACACATGCTCCTCGGCTCCTCCAGCGATCAGAGACATCAGCTGAGCCTGTCAAGCACGCACACTGCATCTCTGGGCTAAGGCATGGAGCGGCCAGGTCAAAGGAAAGGATTTCCTCTTTGTCTCTGCCGTATACCTCGGTGATCTATTGGGCCCAAGGCAAGCGCAGGAGGCTGGCAGCAAATGCATTATCCACATTTGATACCAAGCTCCCTTGAGAGAGACTCAGAGAGTCAAATGTACTATTAGCTTTTGTTTCAAGGCTTATAGTGTTACATTAGCCAAATTGGCACTTTTATCATATAATCTAACACTTTTTTTAAATTATTATTATTATTGTCAAATTTATCTTTACAAGTTATTAATCATGACATATAGCTCTATTTGGCACTTTAATGGCTAACCGCAGTAGTGGTGGGATCGAAATAAAATCACAGGTCCCTGTGGTTCAGTTGGGGTTGGTTTAATACACTGCATCCAGTAAATGCTTCATCCATTAGCTTGAATGCTTCTCCAGAGGGACGATTAATATAGTCTAGAGCAGTGGCACACAGTGCAAAAAGAAGAAATACGACTATCATCTGGTTAACAGTAGACAAAATAAACAAACTGTCTTCAATTAAGAAACTTTCCAAAAAGTATGATGTAATAGCCTACCATGTTTTTGGATATGTATTTGCATTGTGGTAGCATGGTATGGGTTTCTTCAAATTGGAAATTGTGACCCTGTAGACAAATAAAAACAAACTCTCTTAAAGTTCCTGTAGTCAAATGTATCCCATAAAACCCATAAGATATTTGATCATGAAAATTACATATTTAAACCTTTTTTTTCCCTGTGAAAAAAACTTCCTGCCTTAAATTAGCTTGAATCCAACTTCTACACCATTGCTTCATTTAGTACGTGCAGTTTCTTAAATATGCTAATTATTGTTATCAAACAGCTATGTGTTGCTAATGTTACACAAACCATGTTCCCGTTCAAAGCGACATCTCAGAGTCAAGAAAGCTGCCTTGAATTTCAACAATCATCCGAAACGCTTTAAACAACTCTGAACGTCAGTGGAGAAAAGCATAAGGTTAGTTCTTCGTAACATTTTAAAACACATCGTCATACCTGCCAACTTTTGAGTTTTGCTTGGCGTGAGATCTGTTGACGGGGGGGGGGGGGGGGGGGGGGGGGTGTTCATTCGCTATAGATCACGGGAGATTTGTAACTAATTTGCGGTATAACTAGTGAATCACGAGTGGCCCAACAGATAGATCAATAGATAAACTCATCTTTCAGGCAGTTGACCAACCCATAGCTGTCAACATCAAAGGGAGATTTCCCGGGAACCATCCCCAAAATAAGTTGTTTTTTTTTCCTCACGATTCTTACTCACAAACTTTAAAAATAAAGCACTAATCAAAAAGTCTAAAGAATTTAGAACTAGCCCACATATGTGTGAGAAAGAGCACTGTGTCATTAAAAAAAATACCATAGAGAATGTTTAAATACTTAGATCAGCTTACGAGGGAAACGGGGAGGCTGCTTCTGCTGGAGATGATTGGGAGAGGTCTCTGCACCTTGAGGTCTCTGCGCGCGCTGACATGGAGTAAAGCCTTGTTTATACTCGACGCGTCTGCACGAGCGCGGTAAAAATGACACGTTGGGTGCGCAAGACCGGCAAGACCTCACTTCGAGCTGTGTGCAAAGCTTGTGTTACAGCGCGCACGGAACCGCATCCGAGGACGATCGACTTCGAGCCGAATCTGTCCGAGCTTGTACGTCTCACACAATCAGAGTGTACAAATACGAGATATTTTACGGGAAATACTAACATGGGAAGACAGTAAAAGAGCTAAAATACGTGAGAAACCCGGAAAAACGGGAGGATTGACACTTCAGCGTGAGAAATCGGGGGTGTGGCGTGTGAGCGTGTGAAACCAATCAAATGCGGGTGTCTCACGGCCAATGCGTGAGAGTTGGCAGCTATGCATCGTACACCTGCTACCGGCTATATGGATAACACGGCAGTGGCATGGCATATCTCGAGACTACCCTGCTAGTTCGCTCGCTGTTAATGTTATGCAAAAACCCGCCGGTGATTGGTTACAAGGTCTTTTGTGACGTGAGAAACACCAGATTTCAAACCGTTATTATATATATTATTATATATAATATATAATATTTTAATATTATTAATTTTTAATATTATTAATTATAATATTAATATTTTATACTGTAATTTATTCATGTGATGGCAAAGCTGGATTTCAGCACCATTACTCCAATCTTTAGTGATCCCTCAAAAAATATGCTGATTTGCTGCTCAATAAATATTTATTTTTATGATTATTTTCATTTTTTTTTTTTTTTTCAGGATCATGGAAAACTAAAAAGAAAAGTATTTATTTTAAACAGCCTAGAAATCTTTCCTGCTGTCAGGCAGAATAAAATGATGAATTTCTTTCTTTTTTTTTTTTTTTTTAAATGAACGGTAGTGTATTATTTAATTATTTAGAGAGAGAGAGAGAGAGAGAGAGAGAGAGAGAGAGAGAGAGAGAGAGAGAGTATCTCTAGCTGGTGACCATGACACTCAAGATCCAGAGCACCCTGCCCAAAGACTCACCATTCCTAATTTATGAGGGCTCTACCAAGCCTCAATAAATCATTCATCCAGCTCCACACAGTGATCACAGAAGCACAGACCGCCTTTCACACAAGATCAAAAATAAATAAATAAATTATAATAATAAATAAACACAATTCTTTTTCAGACAAGGTTCGCCTCTCCATTATGAGATTTCTCTTCTGCAGCGGAGGGAATATATCTTGTACTGCATATGAATCAGCATCTGACGCACAAAAAAGCTGATGCGGTATTCACAAAACCAAGTAAACAATATGACAGAATAAAAAGGGGTTATTGAAAACCTCTGTTGAATTCTGACAAGAATCAAAGCTAAAAGATTAATTTAAATACATGAAATCTACAAAATTAAATATTATTGTTTTATGGTGCAAACAAAACAACGAATTAACTAAGAATACATTGCCACATAACGCTTGTTAGTGATGTCCCTAAAACCTAATCTGATGTCATAAAAATGTATTAGCCTACTTTAGCTAAATGACTCAGTATATTTGGCACCATTATGGGACACAGTATTGGTACAGGATGTGGGACAATCGATTGTATTGTACCATGAGAAAAGGGATCAAATAACACACTGACACAAATACAGAGAGAGGGCAGCTCGGTCAACACACAGGCACGCATTTGATGCATGTGAGCATCTCCAACTAAACAAAGAATCTGTATGGGATGTGCATATATAATGTATCAGATGTAGGTCAGTGCTCTGCTATGCTCCTGTACTTTACCCATATAAATGCATATGTTTAATATGCTGAAGTGGTGGTTGGTGCTGGCATCACTTCCTGTGTTACTCTGAGCCTGGGAAACAACATGGGAACTGTCCCACATTCCTCAGATGAGTCACGACTGGGGACTGCAACCGTGTATAGCAGGAATGTATTGTCATTAGTGCATGGGACCATGTCAATCAGACTAAGGTATTGACCCAACTGTATTCAATGAAGCTGCAACAGATACCAATGTTTTATCAATGTGTGCAGTCTGTGAGTGGAAAGTTTGATTAGTCCATTGGGGCAGATGGTTGATGTCAATGTTTATATAACCATAATAATAACCAACCCACATTCTCACAGTCAGGTTCTGATGGTTCTCCCTGTTTGTTAACAGGTCTCTTGTTAAATGCTTTACACAGAGACAAAGTCAAAT